AGCCACATGCAGCTCTGAAGCCACGGGTTGCCGACCCCTGCTATAGATGCTTCCTCTGCTTCCAGATAAATAACAGAAATTTCCAATTTACAGTCTACCCCTTTGAGTTAGCAACAGCACCCCGTATGTCGGTGGTGTGTCTATATCTCCGTCTCTGTGGCGTTCATGTGTATCTCCTTACCTTGATGACTGCCTTATAGTAGCTCCCTCATGTGAAGCCTCCCTAAAAGTGACACAGTTCACTTGTTCCCTCCTTTCCAGTTTGGGGCTTTACATCAATACAACGAAATCTCACCTTTCTTCTTCTCAGTCAAATTCATCGGATCCAGACTCAAGTCCATACCGTCAAAAGCTGTCTTCTCCCACAACAGACTGTTCACCATGTCCAGAGAGGTCGCATCCCTGATGGACACCTCTTTGCCAACGATCCAACGCATTCTAGGTCTGATGTCTGCGTCATATCAGTGAGCCAATAATTCTGCCCATGTTCTCCCAGAATCTGTCTACTCCTATAGAGACCACTCTACATTCCCTGGATGTCAGAAGGGCTCTTGCCTTTTATAAATCAAGAAACGAGTCTTTCAGGCACACTCAAAGGCTGTTTGTTCTCTGTCGTGAACCATGCAGAGGAAGCCCAGTATCTCCTCAGAGGCTCTCTTAAGTGGATCGTCCATACTATATGCTTGGCCTATGACCTCTCTGGCCTTCAGCTTCCTGGACCTGTCAAAGCTCACTGGACTAGAACTGCATCCACCTCCCCTGCTCACTATGCTGGAGTGTCCCTGACTGAGCTCTGTAAGGTGGCAGCATGGGCGAATCCGTCGACCTGCGTTAGACACTTCCGCCTCAATGTCAAATCGAGAGAGGACTGCGCCTTCAGCAGATCCGTCCTCTCTGCATTACTTTACTCAGCAACACCACCTTCCTCCTGAGGAAAGCTTGCCAGTTGCCCATATGTGTGATGCACAGAGACCACGAAGAGTAAAGACAGGTTTCCTTTCCTGTAGCTGTTGTTCTTCGCGTGGTCTTCTGTGCATTCACAAATACCCACCTGCCATCCCATCTCTGTCATGGCACATGGGTTATTCTGTGTCAATGATGCAATGAGGATAGCGGTCTCAGCTTGAACTCAGGCCTCAGTGGGAGCCCTGCCCTCACACTCGCCACGCTAGGGGCTGAGCTCCTGCCAAATACTAATTAATCAGCTTTGGAATCATCCTAAAAAACTGCTCCCCGCATGTGGAAAGAGCCCATATGTGCGAATGCACAGATGACCACTCAAAGAACGACATTTATAGGTAAGAAAACTTGACTTTGTCTTTGTAGCATACATGTAAAGAAATAACATAGGACAAACTCACTTTCTATCTATGCGTGATTGATACACAAATAAAAAGGAAGCAAAACTGGCAGCCAAGAGTAGCAAGAATGCAGCGTGTGATGCAGCCAAAGCAAAGCTGCCAGGCACAAATGGAGCTGGCAGTGATCTGGGGCTGCCGTGGGGCCTCAACCTTTTCGCCGTGGCTGGAGGTGGCCCCCCTTGAGCCTGGCATATCACTGAGGCCCACGTTGAGTGACAACAGCTTGGCCTTGTTTCTGTGCCCTATTATTCCACTCAGTGACTGTCAAGACAGCTTAGAGGTTGGAAGGGGCACCACCATTTCCAAAAGGTAACAAACCATGGCAAGGCAGCCAGAGGAGGCTGGTGGGGAAAGCACAACCGGAAGCCCTGGCTCTGGCCAGTGGCCGGAAAGGAGAAGAGCCGCCACTCCCTCAGCATTTCTGAAGGCTTAGAGGTCAGGGAAAGTTCTGCAGCTTTGCTGACACCTCTCCTGGAAACAGCCAGGCATGAGCGTCCAGGGCGAGGGCAGCTGACTAACAGGGTTTAGGCACCGGGACCCAGGCAGGCAGGGCGTGGCAAGAGCAAGTCCAGTACACAGTCCAAGGTCAAGCTGGAGGTTGATATCCTAGGCAAGTCCGTAGAGACAGGTAGCATAGTCCAAAGTGAGCCAAGGGTCGGAGAACGGAGGAAGGCCGACCAGTCAGGGAGAGAAGAGGTGCAAGCAGGACGCAGGGACGCAGGCAGGAGGAATGAAGGACGCAGGCATGGAGTTCCAGGTCTAGCAGACCAGGAAGGGCTGCGCCAACAACAGGAGGCCTTTGTTGCTGAGGCACCTTCTGAGGGGAAGAGCTGGTTCTTCTATAGCTCTTCTCCAGGGCTCCCCAGGTGGACTCATGAGAGCCCTGGCAGCTGCAGTGGGCTGAGGTCAGAATCCTGCAACTACCAGGGCTGCTCCACCAGCCCTTAGCCAGCAGAGGGAGCCCTCAAGCTACCTTGGTCTTGACATTGGGGAGGCTGTGCCCATTCTAGGGAGGGGGCCACTGTGGGAAAGGCCTTGCTGCTGTCAACTGGGAGACCTTGTCTCTGAGGGAGACAGTCTAATGATGAAGGATTTGCAAGTTACATCTTGGATTATGTCCAGAGAGAGATGGAGAAGTCCTTTCAGAGCAAGTGGCATGGCCGCAAGTGGGGTTCATCTCACTCACTCTTTCCATGTCTGTGTTGATGGCACCCCTCAGATCGCTTCTGGTGCAGCCTGGGAGACCCCCGAGCAGGCCCTTCTGCTTCTGGCCCCCGCCTCCTCCACGCCCAGCCTGTTCAGCTCTGCGTCCTCGCCCGCCCCTGCACACACAGCACTTCCCTGTCCAAGACCCAGGGACTCATGGCTGGCAGGGGGGAGGGGAGTACACGGGGGCAGCCACGTCTCCACCTCTTTTGGTGCCTTTGGGGAGTGACTGGAACCCGGAGCTGGCAACTTTGGTGGGAGGCGGCTTGCTGAAACTGGTGTCTGTGGTTCCACTGGGCTTCTGTCGGGGCAGGTGCATGTGCCTGGGCTGGGGAGCACGGGGCCCTCACGCAGCGCTCGCCAAACACTGGCAGCCCCGGTCGCCATGGCCCCTCTGCCCTCTGCCGGTCCCTTTGCCTCCCTCCAAGGTCTTGTTGAGCGGCTGTTCCTACCCTCCTCCTCCGCTTTTCCGATGGCTGTGCCTGAGAGCAGAAGCCCTTCCCAAGTGAATGTTGGCACGTACCCCACTGAGCACTTATGAATAGCAGTGACTGTTTTCGCCACATGAAGCAGGGCTGGCTGGCGCTGCCGAGGCACATTCCTGCTCAGCTCGGCCCGAGAAGAGGCCTCAGCGGCACATCGTGCAGCCACCACCTTGGAAGACGCGGGCCCTGTGGGGCAGGTGGCTGGCCTCCCACCTGCCTGCCCGCCTGCCTGCCAACCTACCTGCTGTGGCCAGGTGCTGGCAGCTCGTCTCCCCGCCTGGCTGGCAGCTCCACTCTGGACATGCCACGGAAGCAGCCACGCAAGCAAGGACTCGGTCCAGGGCACTCCTGAGTGCCCTGCCGGGGTTCTGGTCCCCACGTGTGAGCAGGCGAGCAAGAGCCAGCAAGGTGGCCCGGCACTGCCTCCCCCGGCTTGCACGCATCCTGCGGCAGGGCAGCGGTGGACGCTGCAGCCCCCTTTGGCAGGGTTTTGGATGGAGCCTGACCTCTGTATCCCTTGTGCTCAGGCCGCTTCCGGACAAGGCTCCCGGCACGCAGTCTGCCCCCCCGCTCCCCCCACACAGAAGGCTGTGGCGGGGGGTCTCCCGGTGATGGCGCCTTCCATTCACAGTGCCAGGGCTTTCCTGCCGCGGCTCCCGTCCTTTTCCTTGCTGCCCGCAATCGATTCACGCAGCAGGAGAGCCCCTTCTGTCTGTTAGAACGAGTCAACGAGAGCCCCCAGCCTGCCCTCGGGGATCACCCCCGAGGCCTGAGAGGCCACCCCGCAGCTTTGGGTGGCACCTGCAGCTCTTGACCCACCGTTTAGGTGGCCTGTGCAGGGCACAGTGGCTTCTTCCAGTTGCCACTTGCCCCACTCCAGCGGGTGCCAGGAGCCCGTGAGAAGGGGCGCGCCAGACAAAGTTCCACGCGTGTGGAACTGGGGCTACGGGGCCTCCTCTGAAGAAGGGCAGGGCAAGACAAGACAAGAGTTCTCCAGAGCTGCCTGTGGGCTCTCGCCTCTCAGCCTGTGTCAGGCAGCGGCCAGCCCTAGGCCGGGCTCCCGGAGCAGTACTGGCTGGCAGCTGCAGTTGTTGGTGGGGCAGCCCACCACTTCACCTCAGGCCCTGTTGCCCCGAGGGTGGGGGCTTCTGCCCCCCGACCAGCTTTGGGGTGCGGCCTTTGCTTCCCCTGTGCAGGCCGGTGGGGATGGCCCCAAGACGGAGGGGCGTGCTGGTGGGCCTGGTGTCCTTGAAGGGGTGGGCAAAGGCCAGGATGGTCTGCCGTGGAGAGGGAGGGGGCGGTCAGCAGTGCAGGCACATCGGGCAGGCTGAGCGAGAGAACTGTGCAGGGGTGTCGAAGCCTCCCTGAAATGGGCAGGGCATAACTTGGGGAACCGAGCATCTGTCTGTGTGTTGAGCGGAAGGGTATCTGTGGAGGGCAAAGCAGGACCCAGGAGTCAGGCCCAGGGTGCTGGCCGATACCGCACCCAACACGTGCTGGCCAGCTGGCCCCGGGACCTCCATGTGGGGCTGCAGCTGGCGCAGGCTGTGGAAAGATGATGCCTGCCCAGCAAGGAGGTGGCACAGATGTCGCAGAGGCTGCTCCCGTGGGATGTTGATGCTTGGTTTTTCTCTTGCTTTCTACTTCTGCTCTTGGTCTGATGGTGTCTCTGTCTGTCCGTCCGTCCGTCCGAGAAGGTTGCTAGAGAAGTGCAGTCCAAGTGTGGCTGCCCAAAGTCACGCGTGAACCAGCCTGCTTCCCGCCCACATGCTGTTCCCCAGCTCTGTGCAGCTCACCTGTTCCTGGGTGAGCCCTTCTCTGCCACCCCAGCAGGCCTCTGTGGCCCTCTGTGCGTGCTCTGAAGCCTTCAGCAGCATCACAGCGGGGCCTAGCCTGGCACTCGATTCCCTTGCCTCCCCATGTCTCTTTGCTCTTTCGCTTTCCCTAGGGCGAGCCGGACTTGGAGAAGGGCTTGGAGATGAGGAAGTGGGTCCTGTCAGGGATCCTGGCCAGTGAAGAAACGTATTTAAGCCACCTGGAGGCTCTGCTGCTGGTAAGGACTGTAGTGGGTGCGGGCGGGCCAGCCGAGGATGTATATGCTCCCCAGGGCAGGCAGGAAGGCCTGCCGCCGGCGGGAGGCCGCCTTCCCGAGCCCTCTGCTGCTTCTGCCCTGCAGCCCATGAAGCCTCTGAAAGCCGCTGCCACCACCTCCCAGCCAGTGCTGACGAGCCAGCAGATCGAGACCATCTTCTTCAAAGTGCCAGAGCTTTTCGAGATCCACAAGGAGTTCTACGACCGGCTCTGCCCGCGTGTCCAGCAGTGGAGCCACCAGCAGCGTGTGGGGGACCTTTTCCAGAAGCTGGTGAGCTGGACTGTGCAGGGCGAGTTGCAGAGGCTTCCAGGAGGAGCCGCCGGGGGACGTGCCCCGGGCGGGAGGGTGGGGATGGCCATGCCTGTGGTGGGACTGTGCGGCGAGCGGCGAGCACCTTCGCTCCTCCAGAGCGGTGGGAGCCAGGCAGGCGTCGTGCCTCCAGGAGGCCGCTGGGGCATTGTGTCCCCCACCGCGTTGCAGTGGGGTCAGAGGTCGGGCCGCCCCCGCCCCCTTTAGCCTGTTGCTTTGGGCTGGTCTGAGGTTTGCGGGTGGATTGAGAGGCGAGCCCTTTCTTGGTTGGGCAGGGCTCATCTGTTCCTCAGAAGCCCCTGCCCGGCTGGCCCGGTGTGTCGGCAGCCCCTGCCCGGCTGGCCCGGTGCGTCGGCAGCCCCTGCCCGGCTGGCCCGGTGCGTCGGCAGAGCTCAAGCGTGGTTGGAGTTTGCAAATAGGACCGTGCTCACGTTCCTTTCGGAAAAATAGCGTGTGCTTCTCCCAGTGATCTCAGGGTAGTGATTGGGAGGCAGAGATGCATAGGCGGCTGTTTGGAAAAAGGAGTAAGCCGGAAGGCCCCTTCTGTGGAAGGCCGGTGGCCTCGTCCTCCCGGCTGCTCTGGCTTGCCGGAGAGGCCGCCTCGTTCTCCTCAGGTCCTCGGGCTTGCTGCCCGTCGCCTGCACTCCTTTCTGCCTTTCCCTTTCAGCTGCAGCAGAGCCTTGTGCCCAGCGAGTGGCAGGGTGTGGGCACAAGTGGCAGCTCCTTCCAGGGGAGCCCCAGGGCCCTGTGCAGAGATCAGCGCTGCTCAGCCTGTCCAGAAATGATCTGGACTTGGGAGCAAGCAGCAAAGTGGCCGAGTTTGCTGAGGGCACTAAACTTTTGAGGGCTGCTAAAGGCAAAAGGGATGGTGAGGAGCACCAAAGGGTCCCTTCAAGCTGGGGGGGATGGGCGCCAAAAAGGCAAATGGACTTCAAAAAAAGCAAGTGCAGAGTAACGCATCGAGGGGCAAAAACATCCCAGCTTCAAGCACGCACTGATGGGACATTCCAACTTCAAGCACTCCACTGGGACAGCATGAGGAAAATGTTGGTCAATTGCTCAGGCTGCTGTGAAGACGGTACATGAGGAAGGGAATGGAAAACAGAACTGCCAAAATCCTGCTTCCCTTTTGGTGTGACCACACCTGGATTATTGTGTTCAGTTCTGGCTGCCTTACGTGAGAGAGGACATCGCTGAGTCGGAGAAAGTGCAGCGAAGGGCAACAGAAATGATCGGGGGGGGGGGGGAGGCTGGAGCAGCTCCCCCGTGGGGCTGTCGGCTCAGAGGGAAGGCGAAAGGGGAGCCGAGCCAGAAGGGTTTGGAGCAGCGCAGGAGGCCTTTCTCGCCCTCTCCCCTACCACTTGAACCCGGGGTCACCGCACAAAGCTCCCTGCTGGGAGGCTTAGGACAGATAAAAGGAGGGACGCCCTTGCACAGCACATAGTTCAACTGTGGGATCCGCTGCCACGGGAAATGGTGCTGGCCGCCAGTCTGGACGGCCTCAGAACGGGACCGGACGGACTCGCGAGGGAGGGAGGAGGCCATCCGGGGCGGGCGGCCTTGCGGGCTCGGTGCTTCCTCCCTGCCCAGAGGCGGCCTCCTGCGGCACCCGTTGCGCGGCCTCGCACCGTCCTGCCGGAGGGGTCCTGTGGGCAGCGGGTCCGCCACCGTGCGCACGGACCGCCGGCCTGATCCGGCAGGGCTGTCCTCATGTCCTGCACTCACACACGCAGCAGAACCGCAAAGGGCCCCCATCTGGGGTTCCTGGCGCGCTCACATTTGCTTCCTGCAGGCCAGCCAGCTGGGCGTGTACCGGGCCTTTGTGGACAACTACGAGGTTGCCATGGAGACAGCAGAGAAGTGTTGCCAGGCCAACGCTCAGTTTGCGGAAATCTCCGAGGTAACTTCCGGGGGTGTGGGCAGGGTGGCCAGATGGACGGGGGTGTCCAGCAGAGCCCGGGGTGCCATGCGGTCCCCTGCCTCCCCCAGTGGCCGTGGGCTCGGGTGCTGGTCCCCGCAGGGCCTGCCGGGGCCTTCCCCGGGCCACGTCTGCTCTGTGCGTGGTGCTGAGGCCCCCCTTCCTCTTGCTGCCGCCTCAGCAGAGTGCCGTGCGGGATCCGCGAGGAGGGCCCGGCATGGCCACCACCTCTCCGTGCAGGACCATCCAAGTGTCAGCCACCCGGGGTGGGATGGCGCCTTCTGCTTCTTGCCGGTGGCCCTGGGGCCCCGGTGGCCCTGGGGCCGAGAACCACGTGGCCCTGCTCTGGGCCCTTCCTTCCCCTCCTCCCTGATGCCGCTTCCTGCAACTCTGGCAGCCCGGCGAGCTGCTGCTGTGGCCACCCGTCCCTGTAGCACTGGCGGGGGAGCTGGATCTGTGGCAGACCTGCCCGGGGGAGCCACCACAGGCCCATGTCAGATCCGACCTGCGTGGCTCAGGGTGGCCTTGCAGGGTCAGAAGAGCGGGGGCTGACATGGACTTGCCTTCCCCGCTGAGCCTCCCCAGGTCCTTCTTTTTCTCGGCCATCGTAGTGGGATGAGCGAAGCCATACGGGGAGTGCTGCTCACCCATGCACGAACTTTGTCAGGGTCATCCCCAGGGGCCGCATCTGCCTTGCAGCTGAGCTGGCCGCTCCCCGACTCCTCTCCAGAAGTCCTCAGCATGTGGAGCTCCCCCAGCTGCATCCCGGGCTGAGCCCCTCCCCCAGCACAGGCGGGTGACACGGGTGCCCTTTTCTCGGGGACGCAAGGGGAGCATGTGGCAGTGGACACTCCTCCCTGTGCCCCCAAGCAGGCTGTCTCCAGCTGCCTCGGCCTCTCGCCTCCTCTGCAGGGAAACCCGCCTGATCATGGGCAAGCCCAAATCGCAGAGGGGAGGCCCAGTATGGACAGCCTCCCGCCCTTCAGTGGAAGGCTCTGCTCCCCCAGCTGGAGGGCTGCTGGGTGAGGGGGCTGTAAGGCTGAGGCACGGTCTGTGCCCTCAGGAAAGGCCGCTGTAATGCAACCAAGCAGGGGCTGGGCTGCTGGGCTGCTGTTTCCCAAGCGTGTGGCACGTCCGGATGTGGCATGTTCTTTGTACGTAACCAAGGCGTGCACTTAAGTCCCGTGGGGAGCAGTTTGTAGTTCCGTGCGACACTTGGCAGACTGTGAACTGCAAGTCATTTTTTTCCTCCCTTTTGTAGAATCTCAAAGCGAGGAGCACCAGGGATTCCAAAGACCAGATGACGAAATACTCTTTGGAAAGTGAGTAAGGAACTCCTGGATTTGGAACTGGGTTGCTGGCTCAGCCACAGACTCTTGCTCCTCTGAGGGGACTACAGGCACCCCTGTTGTGCAGGCATCTCCCCGGAGAGAAGCTACGTAGCATGGATCCTTTGGTGGAAAACCCACGAGCACATAATGCAGGGTGCCCTCCCCGTGTTCCTCCCTCGCCCACTAGGGGCATCTCGAGTCCTCGGGGCTAGAAGCTGACCTGTCTCCAGCTTCCCACTCCAAAGGCTGCCCTTTTTCCTTTGGAGAAATACAAGTGGGGCCGTGGTGTTTTTAACCCAGAAAATTGTACATTTGTGTTTGCAATTTTATTTTCTTTAATGTTTGTTGGGCATTTGGTATGTTCAGTCTTGCCTGGTCAGTTTCCTTGTCAGTTTCAGCTGTCAAAGGGAGCAGGAAACAAGCCCGTGCCCGCTCGCTGTTGCCAGGGCCGCCTTGCCAGCTGTCAGATTAAAAGCGCTGGTCAGTGCAGTGGGGAAGCGGCGAAGGGGGAAGGAAGCACAGCAGTGCCCAGTGTCCTCCAGTCGCCCAGCTCTTCTCTGTATCTTCAGCTGCTCCAGAATGAAAGGCGCTCTCTCGCAGTCCCCATTCTTGTGCTTCTGTTTTGAGCACGTGTGTCGCAGCAGCTGCAGCAGAGGGCTGCCACAGGTGTGGGGGGCATGGTGACTAGAACGGGCGTTGCCACCCGTGCCAAGCAGCCTGCTAGCCGGACCCTGCCAGACGCAGTGAACTTGTGGGCCTGGGCCGGGAGCAGGCATGCCACTGGCTCGTGGTGGGTTGGACAACCCCAGAACAAGCTGTGGGGTGCCAGGGTGGCTTGTTGGTCAAAATACTGTCCCCTCAAAGTCCTTCTACATGCCGGGTTGTTGTGTCACGCCCCCCCCCCGCCGGGTTAGGCGCTGGGGTGGCGCTTTCGTTTTGGCTGCCAGTCTCAGCAGTTGGGCCAGAGTGCTCGGGATCCCCCGAGCAGAGGATCTGTGCTCCCCACCTCCCGCTGTGCTGCGGCCTGAGTGGGGGCCTGTGGCCATGCGCTCTGCTGCACGCAGAGGTCGGAAGGGGCCCTCTGGGGCTGCTCAGCTGGCTTGCAGGCCGCCCTGGGGGAGTCCCTGCAGTTGCGGGCTCTTTCGCCCCCGAAGGCCCGCTGCCTCCCCGCGGCAGTCGCGTGACTTCCCCCCGTCTTTGCTCTCTGCAGCGCTCCTCTACAAGCCCGTGGACCGCGTCACGCGCAGCACGCTTGTGCTCCACGTAAGTTGCGCAGGGCCAGTGCGGCGCCTCGGTGGGCAGGCTGGGAGGCATCCGGTGGCCGAGATGTTTGTGCACAACAGGAAGAGCCAAGGGGGTCAAAATACTTGGAAAAATATGCAAGAAGCAGTCGTGTACAAACAGATCCGTTATTCCCACTGAGTGGCCCTTCCTTAGGGGAATTGCCTTCTACAGTCCTCCTGATCCCCAGGATGGCCATTTCTGAAGTGGGCTTGTGCAGTTGCACATTTGGGCCGCATAGCGAGCCGGGGTGGTGTCACGGTTTAGAGCACGGTCCTGGGACTTGCGCGGCCTGGACTCCGGCCCTCGCTGGGGGCAGTGCATGTGGAAAGGGCCTGGGGGTTGCAGCTGGTCACAGGCAGAGCAGGAGGCGGCAGGCCGGAGGGCTGCGGAAGAGGCGGGGCACGTGCAGCAGCAGCCCGAGTCCCACGCGAGGCCGCGCTGGGCCGCTCGGCGCACTGGTGCCGCCCTCGGGGTGGGGGGCTTGCCTACGTGGGGGGGCGGGTGCGACAGGGCCGGCAGCCGCTGCCCTCCTGAGCTTTGCCTTTGCTGTGCTCCCTTCTGCTGGTGCAGGATTTGCTGAAGCACACGCCGCCAAGCCACCCTGACTGCCTGCTCCTGCAGGACGCCCTCCGCATCTCCCAGAACTTCTTGTCCAGCATCAATGAGGAGATCACGCCCAGGAGACAATCCATGACGGTCCAGCGAGGAGAGGTATGTGCTGCTGGGGCTCGCAGCGCATGTGATTTGTGCGCATGGATGCGTGCATGGGAGTGTGCAGCGCCGGCAGCCCCACTTGCCCTGTGTCGACTCACTGGCTGCGGCGCTTCTGCTCCAGCCCGCGGCCAAAGCCCTCCAACCTGTTCACGGCGGAGGGAGCCTGAAGGGCGATCCACTGCATGCTGTGATGCTCAGGCCGCCGTGCCGTGCCGTGCCGCGCCGCGCCGCCTGGCAGTGCGTCGGGTGAGTCTTGGGGGCGAGGTGCTACCCTCGTGGGCAGTGGGCTCCTGTCCCCAAGCGCCTGTCACTGGCAGGTCCTCGCAGGATGGCTGCGGAGCTCGCCTGCTGCGGTAGCGGCAGTGTCAGGAGCAATCCCATTTCTCCACTGTAGCTGAAGCAATCTGGGCAGTTTACAACAGTGTATAAAGCAAAACAATAAAATACTATAAAAGCAGCAATGTTAAAATCAATTTAGAATTGCTTAAAGTTGCAAAAAATCAGTAAAAAGGCCCAGCAAAGAAAAGGAATCATTTCTCCCCAGGCCCTTGAAAAACCAAGGGGCTCCCCTGAGGCCTCCACAAGGAGGGCTGTCTTGGCCTGGCCCTGAAAAGAAGGCAGACCTGGTGCCAGGTGGGCCACAGCAGGGAGGCTATTCCAAAGAGGGGGGGCCACTTCAGGAAAGGCCACCCTGTGTTTCCACCCTGTGAGCCTCCCGTGGGGAAGGTGCTTGGAGGAAGGCCCCAGAGGCTGAATGTCATGCCTGGGTTGACTGTGGCTGGTGCTGTGTCTGGCCAGTGGCTTCTTGGTGGTGCCTGTTGGGCCCAGGAGGTAGCAGGGTGCCTTTGCTCTCCTCCACCGTCAGTTCTAGGGATGCGCCAGGAATCCGCTTGGGGGTGGGACTCAGTTCGATCCCTGGGCTCAGCTGCCAGACTCCAGCCCGCTCTACCCAGCTTCCGAGTTCCTGGTGAGGGCACCTGGGCTCTGTGGGGCACTCACCAAGCACAGAGCCCCACAGAGGGGCTCCTCCGCTGGAGAAGTCGGCTGCTGCAAAAGGCGCCAGGCATTCTGCGTGGCTCTTCCGTGCTGTGGCTGTGCCTTGCAGGAGCAAGTGAGCAGCGTCGCATGGTGCGCACCCTTGCAGCAGCCTCCTCCCAGCCGCCTCTGGCAGGAAGTGCTGCTGGTCGTGCAGCCGGGCCAGGGCATCCGCGGACTGGTGGCATGGCTCATGTGGCACGATGAGGCTGCGCACGAGAGGAAGTCTGCGTGTCTGGGAGGGACAGATTTCAAAAGGGTTCATCCGGGCCCTGTTCAGAGTCTCTCTTAGTTCGATGCATGGCCTTCTCTGAACTGCCAGCCCTGCCTGGGACTGGCTGAATGGCCACTGCTGGGGGATGCTCAGTGGAGTTGCCCAGGCCGCCACTGGGTCTGGAGGAAGAGGGCCGCCAGTGCTTCCATCAGCAGGACCACGCGTCAAGGTGTTTGAAATACTTTTCTGACTGCCTCTTGGTCACACACACCAAACATCCGGTTGTTGTTGGAGTTGTTAGTCGCGAAGTTGTGTCCAACCCATCGCGACCCCATGGACAACATTCCTCCAGGCCTTCCTGTCCTCCACCATCTCCCGGAGTCCACTTAAGCTCACACCAACTGGTTGACCGTCTGGTGATGTCCATGTGTAGAGTCGTCTCTTGGGTTCTTGGAAAAGAGTGTTTGCTATGAGCATCATATTCTCTTGACAAAATTCTACCAGCCTGTGCCCTGCTTCATTTTGTACTCCAAGGCCAAACTTGCCTGTTATTCCGGTTATCTTTTGGCTTCCTACTTTAGCATTCCAATCCCCCATGATGTTAAGGACATCATTTTTTGGTGTTAATTCTAGAAGGAGTTGTAGGCCTTCATAGAACCGGTCAACTTCAGCCTCTTCAGCACCAGTGGTTGGGGCATAGACTTGGACTACTGTGATGTTGAATGGTTTGCGTCGGATTCGAACTGAGATCATTCTGTCATTTTGGAGATTGTACCCCAGTACTGCTTTTCCTACTCTTTTATTGACTATGAAGGCTACTCCATTTCTTTGCAGGGATTCTTGCCCACAGTAGCATACCTGATGGTCATCTGAATTAAATTCACCCATTCCTGTAAAACATCCAGTTACACTCCAACAAAAGAGGAGTCACTACTCAAACACGATAATGAGCCAGGCTGTATATATCATGGCAGGGATCTTCTCCTCCCTTCAAAATACCCACTGTCCTATAGTAAGTCAGTCCTGGGAAAATGGCTAGTAGAAAGCCCAATTCAAGCCACCCATCTTCCTGTCTCTTAGGAATAGTGCTGGCAAGCGGACTCTTCAAACCTGCCCAGGGTCTGCCAGCAAAAGGGACCTGCACAGGCTTTTCTCCTCTCGGGGAGTTGGACTTAGGCAGCTGTAACTGGACTCGGACTCAGGCAGGCAGCTGCTGACTGGGCTCTGTGCCCCAGCCATGAGCAAGGCATGCCCCTGCTCCCGGTCTTTCCCAGTCACACCCTCTCTTGCTCTCCTTCCTTTGCTGTACTTTTTCACGTCCCAGACTTTGTGGACTGATGCTGTAGACTCTCCTGCATGTCCTCCCCACCCTCTCTCTGGTGCATCTTTTATCCCCCCCCTCTTCCTCTCCTTTCCTCCCTTGGCCACTTGAGGTGTTGCTCCTTGTGGCCAGGACAGGAAACCACAATCGAGTCAGTGTGTGCACGTCGCTGACTCGGGGTCTTCCTCACCAGGGCAATCTTCTCTGTCAGTTTGCCAGGTTGAGAGCCAGCCAGGCTGCTGGCGCAGGCCAGGGAACTCGGCCGAACTCACCAGGAGTCTGCAAAGAGGCGGTGAGCCCTGCCGACGCTTTGGAAAGACCTGCTTGGTTCCCCCTTCCGGGCCGCCTGGCAGGGCTTTCCCAAGCGGCAGGCGGCCTGGGGCTGACACAGCAGAAAGTTGAGTGGAGGGGTGCCAGTGGCGCTGCAGGAGAAGCCCAGTTGGAGGCGTGGGGCGCAGAGGGCCAGCGTCCAGCATGGCTGCAGGGGGGCCTTGCGAGTGGCAGTGGCAGTCTCTTCACGGAGCCTGTCTGGGTGCATGGGGGTCCTGAAGCTGCCTCTCCTTGCTGCTGTGGAGAGTCCACCCAGGCTGCTGTGCCTTGAGGCACGCGGTGGGCCTGCTGGCAGGAGCCGCGTGGGCTGCGGAGGCGCTCCCTCTCGTCAGGTTGCTCCGGGCCGCTCCCTTCCCCAGGAGCATTCGATGCTGCCCCTCGCTTTCTCGGTGAGCTGGACCAGCGTGTGCAGTGGCGGTGCGCCTGGGGCCAGCGTGTCCCCAGACCATCGGGAGCCCTTCCCTCGCTCTTTGTTAACGGGCCGTCCCACTTCTGGCAAAGCGTGCGCTTCTAGCTGCAGCCTGTGCGGGTCTCGGAGCCGCTTCTAGGACATGCGGGCAGTAGGCAGCTGTGGGTCTGGAGGCCTGGTGGACGCCCGCAGCAGGAGGGGCACCGGCCCGTCCGGGCAGCTCCCGGCCTTCTTGGCGGCTTTTGAGGCTGCAAGGAGGTCGGGGGCACAACTGCCCTTGCATGGCCACAGCCTGTGGCTGCTAAAACAAGCCAGGCTGGCTGCTGGAACCAGCCTGCAAGGGGTGGGGTGCCAGAGCAAGTGGGCTGGGGGTCTTGGCAGGGCGCCTGAGCCATTCCGAAATGCACACCGAGGTCTGCTGCTGGCCAGGGAAGGTCAGGAACGGCATGGCACGGCAGAGCCCTGGGCCAGAGGGGATCAGAGTGAGGTTGGGACCAAGCCAGGAGCGGTCCAGGCACTGCTGGGGACGGCACATGACTGGAAGCCGGGCCAGGAGTGCCTCTGCAAAGGTCCATGTTGCTGCTGCAAAGCTGAGCAGAACAAGGAATAATCAGTTCAAGTTGCCACAACCCAGATTCAGGCTGGACCTCAGGAAGAGCTTCCTCACTGTCGGAGCAACACGGCAGTGGAACCGGCTGCCTGGAGAGGTGGGGGGCTCTCCCACACTGGAGGCATGCAAGGCAAAACTGGGCAGCCATCTGAGTGGGATGGTGTAACGTGGTGTCCTGCAACAGAAGCGGGGTGGACCCCATGGCCTTCTGGCCCCTTCCACTATGATTCTATACAGCATATTCAGAGCATATTAGCTCATAGAATCATAGAAGAGATGGAAGGGGCCATGGAGGCCATTGAGTCCAACCCCCTGCTGTACTCGGAGGGCTGTCCAGGTTCTTACTGAATGTCTCCAGTGTGGGAGAGCACACCACCTCTCCAGGCAGTGGGTTCCACTGCCCTATTGCTCTGACAGTGGGGAAGCCTTTCCTGATGCCCAGCCTGAATCTGGGTTGTTGCAGCTTGAATTGATTATTCCATGTCCTATGCTCTGGCATCAGCAAGAAGAGATCCTGACCTTCCTCTTTGTGATACTTCCCTTGATATCCCTTGAGGTACTTCTAGAGGCATATCATGTCCCCCCTCAGCCTTCTCTTCTCAAGGCTGAACATGCCCAGTTCTCTCAGTCTCTCCCCATAGGGCAGTGTTTCCAATCCCTGGATCATTTTTGATGCCCTCTGCTGGACCCTTTCTAATTTACCTGCATCTTTCTTAAATCTTGGTGCCCAGAACTGGACACAGTATTCCAGGTGTGGTCTGACTAGTGAGGAGTATAGAGCAACTACTACTTCTCGTGATTTGGAAGTAATACTTCTGTTAATGCATCCCAAAAGAGGATTTGCCCTTTTGGCAGCTGCATCGCATTGTTGACTCACGTTTAGCCTGTTGTCCACAACTGCTCCAAGATCTTTTCCAGTTCTGTTGAGCCACGTATTCCCCATCTTGTATCTATGCATGTGGTTTCTTTTTCGTAGGTGGAGGACCTGGCACTTGTCCTTACTGAATCTCATTTTGTTGGTTTGAGCCCAGTGTTCGAGTTTATCAAGATCACCCTGGACCTTCATTCTGTCTTCTAGGGTGCTTGCTGTTCCACCCGGTTTTGTATCATCTGCAAATCTGATTATCGTTCCTTGTACTTCCTCATCTCAATCATGAATAAAGCTGTTGAAGAGCACTGGGCCCAGGACTGAACCCTGTGGCATCCCACTCGTTACCTCAATCCAATTTGAGGAGGTGCCATTGATGAGCACTCTTTGTGTCCAGTTTCGCAGCCAATTTTAGATCCACCTAGTAGTTCTTCCATCTGGTCCAGGTTTTGCTAAGTTGCTTATCAGCATGTCATGAGCACTATGTCAAAAGCTTTGCTAAAGTCTAGGTAGATTATGTCCACAGTGTTGCGTTTGTCCACTTGGGAGGTTGTCTCACTTATTTGGCCAGCTTTGTGGCTGCTGCCAGCTGACCCGCTGTGCTCTTTCTGGGGACGCTTTCAATGAGTGGCTGGCCCTTATGTGGGAATGCACTCCCCTGGTCCTTGCAGGGAGCCTGGCCTCGTTCGTGGGCTGCCGCCATCCACTAAGGGAAGGTCCATGCAGCTGAAGCCCCCTTGCATGTGCTTGCCTTGCTTGGTGAAAACTGTTCGGTCTGGAGGCTCCCAGGCCCCAGGACACCATGCCTGTGGGACCTTCAGAGAGAAGCGGGGCGCCGCATTTGTGTCCAGAAGGTGTCTGGAGACAGTCCTTCCTGCCCATGGAACAAACGGCAGCTGGGAAATCTGCAGCCACCTGTGAGGGGGGATGGGATGAGTTTTCCTTATGATGGCTATCCGGCCTGCTGGAGCCCTCTGGGTGTTGCTGGGCTGCGATTCCCTTCAGCCATCGCTGGCGTTGCTAGGGTGAGGCATGGCGGACACGGTGGCCCCGGCATCAGGAGGGCCGTGGATGGAACTCCTCCTGAGCTGCCACGGCATCGCTGCTGGGGAGCAAAAGTTGGCTGAAAGCAGCTCTGCTCTGGCCTGCGCCTCCCCCTCCTTCCTGAACCCCGTCTTGGAGAAGAGCTTTTTAGGAAATTGGAACGCCTCGTTCTGCTGCAGGGATCCCTCAGCTGTGCCTTTGGGGTGCCAGCTGGAAGGATCTGGTGCTTGTGACGCCATCTGTCAGAAGTAGGCGAGGCCCTCTTTGCCATCTCGCAGGGTCCTGGGAGGTGCTGGCCCGGCCAGCCGGCTGCTGCCCTCTGGTGGTCCTCTGGAAGCTTGGCAGCAAACTTACCCCATGTTCCGCCCACCCCCCAGCCCCATGGTAAATACAAAGAGTTGCCTGCATGAGGGAATTAAGAGTGGCTGTAAGGAAAGGCAAAGCTGGCCGCACGAAGAGGATGCAGGTGGGTGGCAGGTTCCCTCAGAACCGCTTCCTGTATTTGTGCGATTTCTGTGTTGCCTTGCTGCCAGAACTGACCCTCGAGGTCGGCCGCAATAATGACGTATTGGTAAAAGTAGAATGCTGGTTAAAACATAAATGGCTCTATTAAAAACACTGGAATAAAAGGAAAAAAATCCTCTTCGCCCGCAAATCGGTTTGCGTGCCGCACCTTTGCCTGCTGGCAGGACAGCAGAGGCCTGAGCATGGGCTTCCTTGCCGTGGCAGCCCAGGGCGTGGGAACCACGAATGCGTGGGTGACTGCGTGGGGACCGTCAGAGCAGCCAGGAGCCTGTTCCTGAAAGCCCCTGCCCTGAAGGATGCCACTGACCCCTGGCTGCCTGCCGCACGAGTGGCCCCTGCCTGCGGGGCCCTGTTGTGGCAGCCGAGGGCTCACCAAGGCCTCCTTCTCCCAGGCGTGAGAGGCCCACAAATGTGGACATTGGTGGGAAGTGCAGGAAGCTCTGCTCAAATCACTGCAGAGAAAACTGGCTGGCTTCCTGCCTCTTCTCACTCGCCCTGGTGTTCTCCTATTGTGGAAGATCAGGGAAGATGTGACAGGATTTCCCCCAAGGTTCCCAGCCTCTTCACAGAACTGCGTTCTGCAGGGCTGGCAACGGGAATGGCCTGAAACTGAGCACCCCCACCCTGGGGACCCCAGGATCCCTGCCAGCAGCAGCGCCAGCCCCCTCCGGGATTTTGAGCTGGTTCTTCCTGCAGGGAGAGGCTACGGGGGCGGAACGGGTGTCAGAGCTGGCCACCCCTGGGGCGGCTTTTCTCGAGGTGGAAGGGGCTTCTTCTGAGAAGTCTGGTGATCATGGGGCAGAACATGGAGGGCTTGGGAACCGACTTCGGGAGGGTCGGCGCTCCGGCTGACGCGAGCAGGAGGACAAGCTGGCTTGTGGGAGCGGCCATGGTGCGATTCCTCTGATCCTCAGCCGTCCTTCCCCACGCAACGCTCAGGGCAGTGAGCGCTGCGTGCCACGCCAGTGCACCCCACGCCGCGTGGCCGCTGTCCCGCGGAAGGAGACGCGCACGGCCTCAGGCCTGACCCGGCCCACGCGCCTTCTGCAGCTGTCTGCTTGGTGGCGGCTTGCCGGCTTCCCCCATTTAAACACTCGCAGCCAGCACTGCGCTTGGGTATCAGCATAGACTGAGACTGAGGGGCACACCTGCCTGCCCAGCCATGTTAGCACGCAGCTTGGTGGAGCATCAGTTGCGCGGTTGCGTTGTTGTGCACACCCTTTGCAGCTCCTGGCCTCACTGTATCTGTTTTGTGTGCCTTTCTCTCTGATTTTTCTTCTGACCCCCACCCCCCAGCACTTAAGGCTAACAGCTTCAGGTATAGCACAGTCCTGTGTCCCTCTCCCCATCAATATACTCCACTGGGTTCAATAGGAAAAAGGTGGGAGGCTCAGTATGAGGACCTGGGATGGGGGACCTGGGCAGAGTCGCCTTCCCTCGTGCCTCTCAGCCGCACTCCTCCTGCGTGACTGCCTGGCTCTTCCCGGCCTGCACGTGCCAAGTAGTCCCCCAAACAACATGTGGGTGACAGAGAGGCCAGTAAGCCTGGCTGAAGGAAATCCACGCTAGTCTGCGTAATGCTTGTAAAACGCGCTGTTGCATCCCCCGGCTGGGCGCCCGCCTCCACTGCCTCACAAGACCGGCGCTGCCGCCACAGCAGGCCAGCTCAGTCTTGGGCTGCTGCTTAACTAAGCCACCTCTTTCTCTTGGGCAGCACCGGCAGCTTCTGAAGGACCGCTTCATGGTGGAGCTCGTGGAAGGAGCCCGCAAGCTGCGCCACGTCTTCCTTTTCACGGACCTGTTCCTGTGTGCCAAGCTCAAGAAGCACCTTGGAGGGTAAGGGCCCTGGGACGGCGCGCCACGCGGAGGCCTCGCGACGGCATTTGGGTGTGGGGGGGAGGCGCAGGACGGGTTGGACCAGCGGGTGGAAGGGTGCTTGCATGTGGCCACGGTCTGCTCTCGCTCTTCCCCAGAGCAGGCGGTGTGCGAGAAGGCCCTCTGCGTGCGCGCAGGTGCTTTGCTTCAACTCCTGAGGCTGCATACAGCTGGATCCTGAGGGAGGAACCCAGTGCCGAGACCTCAGACTCGGTTCCTCTTCCCGGCTAAAGATCTGCAGCGGATTGCTGTGACCAGCTGTGGGGACCGTCTGCGAAGGCCCGTGTGTGGAAGCCGCAGCCCCTCCGCCTCTCTGCTGGCTAACCCGCTGCCTCCCCCCCCCCCCCACACAGGAGGAGCCAGCAGTACGACTGCAAGTGGTACATTCCGCTGCCAGACCTCAGTTTCCAGGTGGTGGACGATGCAGAGGCTGCCCCCAACATCCCCCTTGTGCCGGACGAGGAGCTGGATGCCATGAAGATCAAGATTACCCAGCTCAAGAGTGACATCCAGCGAGAAAAAGTAAAGCTGGAGGAGGGGATGGTGATGATGCATAGTACTGATAATACACAACTTTGCATGGCAGTGTAAAATTTTCAAGGACACATGAACAAATATTTCAGTAGCCTGTAGAAAATTTAGGTTGCAAGGTAGTCGCAGAACAATAGAGTGGGAAGAGTCCAGCGGGTCCAGTCCCCTGCTCAGGGCAGGACTCTGTGTTAAACCGTCCCTCTTCAATGGTCTAACGTGGGCATGTGGGGAACGGAAACTGTATTGCCACAAGGAGAATACTTGGCTCAACCGTACGCAAGCGGGAAGGATCTTGGAATTGTTGCAGTTCACAGGCTGAATGTGAGTCAGCAGCACAATGTGGCTGCAAAAAGGATAAATGCTCTTTTAGGCTGCATTAATAGAAGTTTCACTTCCGAATCCAGAGAAGTACTAGTTCCCCTTGACTCAGCACTGGTCAGGCCTCATCTGGAGTCCTGCGTCCAGCTCTGGGCACCTCAGTTGAGGAAAGATGCAGAGAAGCTGGAAGGAGGGCATCAAGGACGACCCAGGGACTGGAAAGGAAGCCCCATGAGGAGAGATTGAAAGAACTGGGCTTGTTTAGCTTCAAGAGAAGACTGAGGGGAGAAATAATAGCGCTCTTCAGGTTCTTGAAAGGTTGTCACACAGAGGAAGACCGGGATCCCTTCTCCATCATCCCAGAGTGCAGGACTCGGGGATAATGGGCTCTAATTACAGGAAGCCGGGTTCTGGCTAGACATCAGGACAAACTTTGTGACTGTTGGAGCAGTACGGCAATGTTACCCATGAGCTGGGGAGGTGGTGGGCTCTCCCACACTGGAGGCACTGGAGATGCAACTGGACAGCCATCTGAGAGGGGTGGCATAACCTGGTATCCTGCACTGAGTAGGGGGTTGGGCCTGATGCCTGCTCACTCTGTGATGGAACTACGATTCCCTTCTGCTTCAGTGGCAACACCCCAGCTGCCAGGGGCTCTGAGAAGGGGGTTTTCCCCAGTGTATTGGAACTTGGTTCTGAGGAAGATGAGAGCCCTGCTAGGTATACTTTCCAGGCAGGAGAGCTCTGGGTGAAAGGTACAGCTGAATACCTTTGGCAATTCTTGGACAGGGTCCAGGCCCCAAGCTGACCTTTGGATTAAATAGTAAAGTAAATGTTGAGGTCAAGGCCCTATCCCAAAGGTGCAGCCTTCCACGATGCATACTTCAGGTTCCAAATCTGGACTGGAAGAAAGTCGAAAGATGAAATGCCAAAGCCAGTAAGCCTCGGGGAGAGCCAGGTGGCTGGTGCAAACCAGACCGCTTTTGGCTCAGGGGGTAAATGGCAGAACAGGGCGGGTCAGAGGAAGAGAGCCCTGTGGTTTGTCCTCAGGTCAAAGAGTGGCTCAGCCAAGAGCGGCTTGTGTTCTGTTTCTGTTCAGCCTTTTGATCAAGGAGGAGGGGGTGGCCGGCCTGCTGACTAAATTTGCAGATGATACCAAAGTGGGGCGATGGCCACAATGGAGGAGCACAGGCTGTGGAAGTGGGCTGGGGACAACAGGATGGCATGCAATGTGAATTAGTCTTGCACTTGGGACACAGGAATAGGTGCCACAGGTACAGGATGGGGGACAAGTGGCTGGAGAGCAGCACTTGTGAAAGGGACCTTTGGGTATGTTGGAGATAGAAACAGAAACAGTGAGTCAGAAGGGATATCCCGGGATATCTAGTCTGACCCCCAGCTCCAGCCCGCTTCACTCATGCCATGCCTCCCATGAGCATGCCCAGCCTGTCCTTGAACACCCGCACCAATGGGGCCTCAACCACCTCCCATGGAAGCCCATTCCATACACAAGGGGTCCTAACTGTCGGGAAGTACTTCCTGGCATCCAAACTGAACCGTGTGTTTGGTTCCATTGGAGTGCGTCCTGTCTTCCTCTGCAGGGGAGAACAGGTCCCTACCTACCTCCATGTAACAGCCCCTCACATACCTGTATGTCACCAACAGATCCCCTCCGAGTCTCCTCTTCTCCAGGCTGAAGAGACCCAGTTCCCTCAGTCTCGCCTCATAAGGCTTTCCCTGCAATCCGGCCACCATCCTTGTGGCCCTACGCTGCAGCGATTCCAACCTGGCTATATCCTTCCTGTAATGTGGAGCCCAGAACTGAACACAATAGTCCAGTTTGCGGGTGCGCCAGAGTTGTATAGAGTGGTAGTAATACGTCTCTCGATCTAGAAGCCACACTTCTGGCTATGCAACCAAGGGTGACATTCACCCTCTTGACCACCGCGTCACACGGCTGACTCATGTTTAGCCTGCAGTCAACCAGCACCCCGAGGTCCCTTTCACAAGTGCTGCTCTCCAGCCACTTGTCCCCTAACCTGTACTTAACACACCCTTTCAATGTAGATAAGACCTTGTACTTATCCACCTTGAACGCCATCCTGTTTTTCCTGGCCCACTTCCATAGTTTGTCCAGATTCTTCTGGATCCTGAGTACCTGCTCCTCAGTTGTGGCCACTGCCCCGGTTTTAGTATCATCTGCAAATTTGATCAGCAGAGTGTTCACCCCTTCTTCCATGTTGTTGATGAAAAGATTAAACAGGACAACCCCACTTGTCACTGGCCGCCATCCCAATGATTCCCCACTAATGGTTACCCTCTGTTTTTGGTCTGTCAACCATGCCCTAATCCATCGGACAGTGCTCTGGTGTATCCCAAAACTCCTCAATTTCTGAACCAGGATATCATGGGGCACTTTGTCGGAGGCCTTGCTGAAATCCAGGTAAACCACATCCGCCACGTCCCCTCCGTCTAGCCCCGTGAAACCTCGTCATAGAATTCCACAAGGGATTACATGAGTGGAGCCAACTGTAGCCAGGGGTTAGATGGGATGGCCTGGGAGGCCCTGTCTGACTCGCTGTTTCTCTGTTTCTTTGTTATGCCCAGCCAGTCCCAAGCAGCACAAGTCTCTGTAAGGGTGGAGCTAACTGCATTTGGCAGGGAGAGGGAGAAGGGGCTCCGTCGGAACGAACTTGTGGCACAAGCAAAGCTCAGCCCACAGTTAGCAGGCTCATTAGCTTTAGCGAAGCTTCTTTCCAAGGAGCTTTACAGTAGCCTGTTTTATTGCAAAGTTCTCCCTGGCTGACCTGCTTTAACTGTAGCCGGAATCCCCTGGCCTCACTTTGATGAGAGGGGAGAAGTTGTTATGCCTGCATCCAGCAGTTTGTAAACAAGGGGCAGGAAGCAATCACTTCTTGGGTTTTTTCTTTCTCAGAGAGCTAATAAGGGTAGCAAGAATGTGGAGAGGTTGAAAAAGAAGCTCTCGGAACAGGAGTCCTTGCTTCTGCTGATGTCTCCCAACATGGCTTTCCGAGTACATAACCGCAACGGCAAGGTGAGGGACCAGGTTTCTAAGCCCAAGGGGGCTTGTGTGTCATGCCAACTCTGGTGATGGGGCCAGAAGGCTTGGTGCCGAGCTCAAGAGTGGCCCCAACCAGAAAGGAACATGCCTCTGGAGGTGTCTGTGCCCGCTTCTCCTCCCAGAGGTGTGTGTGTGTGTGTGGTGGTGGGGGGGGGTCCTTGGCCTTGCACAGGGTGGGATGAGCATGCGGAGAACAACGCTGTTTCCTGTGCATGAGGAAACATGCAGGTCCAGCGCTCCATTTGTGAAGTTTCTTCCTCAACTGTTTTAACTAATGGCTGTGTACTGTGCCCTGCAAGTTTGGGGTGTGCCCCAATATGCCAGGGTTCGCTGAAGCTACTTTGCAGGCATTCAGTAGTCCCTGGGGGAGCCCCGGCTGGCCTGACTGGCTGGGGTGCGACATCCAGCCGTGTGCTGCTGGCTGCGGGAGCAGGAAGGTTGCGGCAGAGGTGTTGTGCACGGGGGGTGGGGGGCAGTGCGTGGAGCAGCCGAGGGTGGGGCCGCAGACCCCAGTGGCACTGAGTGCCTCTGCACAGCACATGATGCCCAGCGCACTGGGGCGAGGGCCATGCAAGGGCGCTAGCTCCTCAAAGTGGGTTCCTGTTTTTCGTCTCTGCACTCTTCTGACTCAAGCAGAGATGCCCGGGTGCTCTGCATTTCAGATTTGCCTTTACTTGCCAGTCTGGCCTTAGCAGATGAAGCCATGAGTATGTTGGAGGTGATGACCATGCATCCTTCACTCTGATTCCTTCATGGCTTGAATATCCTGATTTTTCTTCTTGTAAAACATTGCAGTGTTTGTGTTTTGGAATGATGGAGAAGCAAGTTTAAGAAACTGGTGGCATTTGCAGTGGGAGGCAACTCTGGGATGAGTCCTCTTTCCCACTAGTACTTCCTTCACAATGAAGAAAAATTTAGAGTCAGTGACATCCAGGAATGTCTGTAAAACAGTGGAGTGGAATAATAAAAATCCACAGGCAATGCACAGGCCACTGAATTTTGTCTCAGTTTAGTTCTGCAACCGCTTCAGTGTCTGCGCATCAAGCTCTTCTAGTCTTTCACTTGTGATCCTCTTGCTTGAGGCAAAACCTGCAGAGGGGAGATAAGACTCTGGGCCTTACTATTTTTGGCTCAGGAAAATACTGCTTGTTTGTTTATGTGTTTATATAGCTGTCCTTAATTAGCCACAGGCTTTCTGAATGGTTTGCATTAAAAACTACTGCAGGTCACCCTGTGTTTTAAGAAGGATGTCTTGGGCCTCCTGCTAAACTGTTCAGGCAGCTGCTCCATTCTGTAGTTGGTCTATTTCCTTCTGTATTTCATACATTATGTTGAAACAACAAATTAGATATAATGTCACACAAGTCATATAAGGTGGCACTCACATGCGCTTTTGCCTTTACCAAGCTTACCAGGGTACCAGGGTTTATTCCAAATAAATATACATATGATTACGCTGAAGTATGCATGTATTCAAAGATTAAACTATCGATGAATTAGGAATACCATAAAATTATGTAAGAAAAATTACAGAATTAAAGATCTAGTGTACCTCTTCAATGGGCTTGTATTTTGCAATCAGTTGCCAAGCTGTTCTTTCATTTCAGCTTCAGGCTAAAATGGTTCATTTCAGAGAAAGTCCACTAGATTTTCTAATAGCAGGATTTTATGGTTCAGAATGTGAGTTCCCAAGTTCATGAATTTCATATCTGTGTACTATAGCCCAATAAACTCCTCTAAAATCCTTTATAGTAATAGATCAAGACTTCAGAAAATCATTTGTCTTAAAAATGCATGAACATAATCAAAAGGGATGTCAAGTTTACTAAGCAATTCCAAGGTATTTTCAAAATTAATCTTTCCTTTTCTAAACTGGTCATGGATGGTGCTGAAGAGGCAGCTGCCTCCTCATGGCCTTTTGCACTGACCTGCAGCACCCTGTGCAGCAAACTTCTTCTTGAACCAGCCAAGGCTTCGGGTTCAAGCCCCACACCTGACATGTCATGAGCAGAGCTGGCTGGAGCCAGGGGTCAGACTAGATGGCCCAGGAGGCCCCAGCTGACTTACTCTGTTGCTGTGCTTTTATGTTGTTGTTATTTTAAAAATGCATACCTCTGTAACATTTGCATGGTCCTATTTTTAAACAAGACCGATGTTTCTGTGTGTCACCTGCACCGTGAGCTGCCCTGAGAGACACTCACATTAAGGCCCCTGTCTTGCTCTTGCTTTCTCCCGGCTACTCAGAGCTACACGTTCCTCATCTCTTCTGATTACGAGCGAGCGGAGTGGCGAGAGATCATCCGTGAGCAGCAGAAGAAGTGTACGTGTCCTGCCGCTGGACTCCCGGCCTAGTTCTGCATCTCTGTGGTGGAGGGCTGCCGAATTTCCTCAGGACAGGCACGGGGCTGCCCTGCTGGGGGGGCCCTGATGAAAGACAGCCGGAGGGGGTGGGTGGCCAGGCAGGCAGGCAAGCCGGCCCCCGCTGACGGGGGACACGAGCTGGGGGTGCCCCTCGTGCCATTGAGCCTGCTGTGGTTCATTGGCAGGGTGCTTTGTCAGCCCAGCCGCCCCGGAGCCGCCCTTCGTCTGAGCCCAGGTGACGTGCCAAGTCCGGGGCGGCGCAAACTGCGGCAGGGCGCCTGGCCCGGGCGGAAGGAGGCCTGCTGCCCTCGCCGGCAAGAGGCCCTGGCGGAGTGCTGCCCTCGCAGGCACGGGGGCTGCCCGAGGCGCCACGTGTGGCCCCTGCTGCCACCAGGGACCACGCTGTTGGTGCTCCCAGCACAGCGGCAGCTCCCTGTTCCTCTGGCTGGGCGGGGAACAGGCTGTCGCGGCAGCCGCTGGGAGGCCGCTCCCCGCTCCGCACTGCTGCCTCCAGGAGCAGCAGGGACTTGCGGAGCGCAGCTGGCTGGAGCGAACGCCGTCCGTCCGTCCGTCCGTCCGCCAGCCCCTCCAGGCTGATGGGTGGGACAGCAGTGGCCGGAGGTCACGCTCCGTTGGCACCCTCGGCGCTGATGCCAAGCTGCTCTGTTGCCGGCTGAGAGCGCCGCAGCCAATCTCGCAGACCCGGGCTGAGCTGCCTGCCTCTGCGGGAGCCGGAGGCCACACCGGCAGCACCCCCGGCAGCACAGGGGGCCGTGACTGGGGCAGGGCGGGGCTGCCGGCCGTCCCCACTGTCCTCGGCGCCCCGCCTCGTGACCTGCCATGGACCGAAGGGATGTGCAGGAGGAGGCGCCTCAGGACCCCCTCCGGGCCCCAGGCCAAGCGGCCGCGCAGGGTGGCTCAAAAGCCTCCTAGGGCTTCTGGGTGGGGCGAGCCCCCCCCGTGGCCCCCGCAGGAGAAGGGGCTCCTCCGCGTGGAGAACCACCTGGGCAGAGCCTGCCGTGCGGCCCGTGAGTGCTGTTCCTTCCCGAGTAGCCATGTGGGGCATCTGTGGCTGCTGTTTCTGGCGCAGCGGGGCGAGGCATCTTGGCCTTGGCTTGGTCCTTGGCTGCTTTCTCCGGGCTGCCAGATGTACAGAGGGCAGTCCGTGCACGGCTCAGAAAGCCTTGTCGTCTTCATGCTGTTGTGCGTCACACACTGCACTCTGCGCGTGCACGGCACCTGCAGAATCAGGAAGATGCGGCCGCTAAGATTTATTGGGCAGGAGCCTTCCCCAACCCCGGCCAGGCCTCCACTCCCCCCTCACAGGCACAGTGGGAAGTTCCTTCCCTGCATGTGCATCGCTGTTTTGCTTTCCTTGTTTCCTTCTTCCCTTGCTTTTTTCCTGACTCCAGCCTAGACATCTGCTCCTGCCTCCTCCCGCCCCCGCCAAAACTGCAGTGCTACGTCCATCCCCCTCCCACCCTTCCCTCAAACCTCGCTCAGCCCCCGGGCCCCTTCTCCGCCCTCTCCACTCTCCCTCCGAGCTCTTCCTGCCCGCAGTGGCTAGCCATTCACGCTGCCTCGCCTGCCTGGCGTGAGCCACATGGTGAAGGCCCGGGCACGGCGCCAGGCCGACCGGGGAGTGTAGGGCCGGCCGCCGCAGGGCCCTCCACGAAGTCGTCCTGCCCACGCCCACCGGACCCCATCCCTCTCGGGTGCCCCAGCGTCTCCACTTGCCTCCGCCACGGGTGCAGCATCCGCCTGGGACACCCTGCCAATCCCGGACCGGCCTGTCGAGATCTCCAGGAAGGCCCAGGTGGCCAAATGGCAGTCCCGGCCGAGTCCAAGGGCCACAGGAAGCGTGCTGAGCCTCGGTATGCCAGGGCTACGTTCCAGGCCCATCGGTCCCCGGGCCTCTTCCGTCCAACCTGCCAGGCCCGGCGCGTACATGTGGCCGTCCCGGCTGCCGCCTCCCCACAGGGCAAGGTCCAGCACCCCTCGTGCCCACTGCCCGAGCACGCACCCTCCTGGGTCTCGGAGACGAGGCGCACAGCCGCACTGTCACCAGTCCTGCGGTGCTCACTGCGCACCAAAGCCAACCCCTGCGGATGACGTTCGCTTTGCCTATCCCTCAGGAAGCGCTCTGGATCCGAGTCTAACAGTCACGACGAACTCTTCCCTCACTGGCTGGGGAGCTCCTTACAGTTGTCCAGTGATGCGAGCCAAGTGGGATGCCCACAATCCCACCAAGCACAGAAACCTCCTGGAGAGGCTCACAGTGCAGAAATGCCTCACAGCTTTCTCAGAACGCCTCTCTGGGCCACCACACTGAGATCTCTTTGGACAACGCAATGGCCGTTTTTTTATTAACCAGGTCTATCCCCGTAAACTGACTGGCACTGAAGATCTGGGCTTGGTTCACTGACAGGAGTGGCACCCTATCTCTGGCACCAGCAATTTCCTGGCCACAGAGTGTCATGAGTGGCAACTCAGCCACCGAGCCAAAGGGACCCACGGATGGACCTCTTTGCAACCTGCCACAGAACCCCATGCCAGCCCTTCTGGGTCCAAGCAAGACTGGATCCAAGTTGCCCATGGTACTCCTTCCTACATACCTGGTCAGGGCACTGCACAACCTTTCCCTGCTGTTCTCTCCAGCCACAGAGGTCCTAGAAAAGATCCATCAGGACCAGACCAACTATATCCTCATCACTCCATGAAGGTGCAGGCAGCCTGAATTTCGGCACCCTACTATAGCTGTCCAACCAGACCTCCTTTCACCTCATACTTGAACGCAGTGCCATCCAGTGCCATCTCTTGGGACCAAGAAACTGTTCTCCATCCAGAAGTCCATACACTCCACCTCACCATCTAGAGAATCCAGCCCTACCCCGAGCATGTCCAACCTGCCTCCACCTCCACCCTATACTAGAAGTGGTCCTGAAGCCCACCACTAGGCAATCCCACTAGGCTAAGTGGGAAGTCTTCTCAGACTGGTGGCACAGCATGGTTTCAACCCATCTAGCTGCCCCATACAAGAAGTCTTCCTGTTCCTCCACTCCCTGTTGCAACATGGACTCAAGATGGCATCTGTTCCCCTCCTTGATCCATCAATATTCCATTCTTGCCCCTTCCTCACCAGTTCCTCTGTGCCCTCAAGAACTCACCCCACCGGTCTGGCCCACGCACCAGCCTGGAACCCTTTCTGGGTCCTCAGAAAGCCCTTCGAGCCCGTGGCCCTGAAGCACCTCCACCCGCTCTCCTGGAAAGCAGCCTCTCTGGTGGCAATCACCTTGACCTGCCACTCCAGCAACACGCTGTCCCTCATCTTCCACAAGGACAGGGTCGGGCTCTGGCCAGGCCTCCTTCCTCCCCGGAGTGGCCTCTGCCTGCGTGCTCAGTCCAGTCATCCTCCTGCTGGCCTCCTTTGCTAACCACAAGGCCTGGCAGAAGGAGCGCTGCACTCCCTCGACCTCCAGGGCCAAGCCCTTCCGCTCGCAGAAGCGTCATGCGGTCGCAGGGGCCTCCCAGTATCTTGCAGCGGCTTGCGAGGTGCAAGAACAGCCCATCTCCCTGGCCCGTGCACGGTGAGGCCTTTGACCCTTGGGGCCGCTGCACAAGCGACGCTCTGCACTGGCGCCCCTCTGCAAGGCGGCCACCCAGAGGAACAGCTGAGCTCCGTGAAGCGCTGCTGCCTTCTTGCCAGAGCGGAGGGTGTTTTTGGCAGCGTGGACCCGTCCTTGGTCCTCGAGCAGCAACGCCACCATCTTGCCGCTTGTGCAGTGCACAGAGCCTGCGAAGGAGGGAGCCGGTTGCTTATCTGCAACCACCGTTCTTTGAACAGTCAGCTGTGCATTCGCAGGACCCCTCCCCAGAGCCACCTTCCGAAGGCGCAGCTGTTCATACTTCCTGCAATACCTGTCTTGGGTCCCTCACTGAGGATTGGGCAGGAGCCCCCCACACCTGGGCCGGGGAGAGGGGCTCCCACCAAGTCAATCTTAGTTGCGGAACCTTCCCCGAGCAGGCTGCACGATGCGCAGAGCCCACGTGTTTGAATGCACAGGTGAGCCCGCAAAGAAGGACACTTACAAGTAAGCAACCTGATTTTTTTCTCTCTGAATTGCAGGCTTCAAGAGTTTCTCCCTCACATCGGTGGAGCTGCAGATGCTGACAAATTCCTGTGTGAAACTTCAGACTGTGCATCACATCCCCCTCACGATAAACAAGGAAGGTGAGACCTCCGGGCTGGACAGCCTTGCCTGTCCTGCCTTTGGGTCCACCACCCGGCCTTTGGCAGGTGACAGCGCTGGCCATGCGGTCGTTCTGCCTTGGCTGCTGCCTCCAAGCACAAAAGCCACCTGAAGGGAGGCCCGAGACCTCCCTGTTGTCAGTGTTTGATCCAAAAGAGGAGGGGTTCATAGCTTTGCCCTCTACCTCCTTGAACTGCCCCGAAACATTGTGAAGGGTGGGATATAAAAGCTTGAAATGAAATGAAATGAACAACAGCAGGAGATGAAGTGGGGGGAAAGCAAAGGGAAATTGCTGTTGAAACTTCTGCCCCAAATGTCTTGTTTGCACTTCCCACATTGCATTCATTGGGAACCTGGTGGCAGGGGGAAAGGCAAGCAGGAAATTCCCTATCCCCAGAAAGTGTTGTCATGCCAGGTAATCTTGCGGAGCAGCACGCCTGAACAGGAAGTGCTTGCCTGCCGGACTGCTTCAGACACTGGGGGACTCTTGCTGGGGTGTCATGCACACTGCCAGAGCAAGAACCACGCCCCAGTTTCACATTCGCACACATACAACTCTTAGAAAGCCAAGGGAAGTTTATTCAGCAGAAAATACACAGCAGGCACGCGCGTTTCATTTGATGCTGTCTGGGCAGCAGATGGGGACATGGCTGTCACACTGATTTCAACCGCTGAGCCGCTGGGCTTGTTGATCGAAAGGTCAACGGTTTGAATCGGCTCGATGGAGGGAGCCCCCGTTGCTTTGTCCCAGCTTCTGCCCACCCAGCAACTCGAAAGCATGCAAACACAAGTAGATAAGTAGGTGCCACTTTGGTGGGAAGGTCACAGCGTTCCGTGAGCTTTGGCATTTAGTCATGCCGACCACACGACCACGGAAACTGTCTGCGGACAAACACTGGCTCTCTTGGCTGGGAAACGGAGATGAGCACCGCCCCCTAGAGTCAGGCATGACTGGACTTAATGTCAGGGGGAAACATTTACCTTTACCTTTAGGCAGCACATATTCTTACTGCATCCCAACCGTACTCTATTTCTGAAGAGATAAAGAGCCTCATGGTGAACAGCTGTTTGAACAGGAAGAAACTTACGGACAAGGAGAGGCAGAGAGCCCATTAAGTGTCCCTCAAGGGAGACAGCGGTCCTGTGTGGGTGGGAGGAGTGCAGGAGTGCCCAGGCCGGGGCGCCAGAATACTGGCCAGTTCGCCCCCTTCCGTTTGCTGAGTCTTTATGCTATTTCCTTCTGTACTTGCCTTTATGGGGAAGGGGGGGGGGTTCCTGAGGTTTCCCCAGCATATGCTAATTATGGATGGGTGCTTGGTTGCTTCTGTTACTGTCTAATGGTAGCCATGCCTATTTTCTGTAGGTGAAAAGATGAGCTTTTCCTCCCTGTGTGCTGACTGCTATTGATAGTCAATTTCCGGGTGTCTCAAGACAGACACCCCCGTGCAGGATCGCTTTGCCTAATCTCTTTGAGAGGATGCATCTTTCTGTCGCAGGGATCCCAGCATGGTTCTTGCCGTTCATTCTTGCCTTGTTCACACTGGCTGGCCCAGAAGAGCAGGCCGCCTTTCCTGGGCTGGGCTTACTCAGCATGGCTCGTGGCCTCGTGGCCCTGCCTCACTCACGCCTTTGGGCACCCGCACTGCAGTGCCGCCCCGTGTGGTGTGGGGCTGGCGGGTCCGGCCTGAAGTGGCTCACTCAGCCCTGGGCCTCTGGCCCAGAGTGGCTGGGGCTCGGGGGGAGCTGCTCATCTGGGGCCGTGAGGACGGGTGTGAATGGTGGTGCTGAATGGCCACCCCTTCTCCCTGGGGTGCAGGGAAGGCGGGGGTCACAGCGCTTTCCAGGCTTCCCATCCTGCACACCTTCCTCTTCTCCTTTCGAGCTTTGTGGAGCAGCAGAGCCTCTTCTCCACCCGTTGCACCTTGGGGAGGGAGCTGCGTGGCCCGTGTGAGGGGCTGGGCTGGGCTCTGCCCCGCTCCACTCTGCACCCTCCCCAGCCGGCAAAGCCCAAGGAGGTGGCTGCTGCTGCCCGGCCAGCCAGCCGGCCAGGGGACTGGCAGGGCACGCACTGGAAATGGGAGTGCTGCCCTGCTGCTTTGCCTGCGTCACGGCTGATGCTGTTTTCTGGAGCCAGTGCTGGCAGCGCCAGCAAATCAGATGCCTCCTATGGGGCACATGGCCGCTGGGGGCATCTGGGCTGCGAGGAGTGGGCGAAGGTCACCGTGCTGACCGGCTGCTCGGGGCTCGTCTGGGCGGGGGAGCCCTCCAGGCCAGGGCTGCAGCCACCAGGCTGGCACTCACGGCAGAACCGCAGCCGGGCTCTTCCAGGTGCCCTCTTGTGCAGAAGGCTGAGGGTGCAGCTGTCCAGCCCCCGCAGCCTGGAAGGCTTCACCGTTTTGCACAGGCTGAGCCATGGGGCCCCACATGGTGCTGGAGGGCACTGGGCCCTGAGTTCCTCTACCTGAGGCACCTGCAGCAGCCAGACCATGCTGGCAGGATGCCATTTGGTGGGGCCCTGAGCATCCCTCATCGAGCTGGGACAATTCTTCGGGCACAGAGAGGGATTAACTTGCCCTCTGGATTTTGGGAGCGCCGTGGGAGAATGTGCTGTGTTTACAGTGCCAACACTGCAACCTCGCGAGGCTGCTCCCCCGCCGCGTGGAGAGCTGCTCCCAAGGCCCGGCCCCCACGCGCCACGCTGCCGGATGTGGGCGCAGTGCGCCCGCAGGCGTCGAGCGCGCACTTGCGCTCCTGGCAGCCTGTGGATGCAGACCGAGTGCCCAGTGAGAGGCCTTGGGACCCCTTTGCCTGCCGCTGCGTCTCCAGAGCCAGTCTCACCCGTGTTTGCTTTGAACACAGATGACGAGTCACCCGGCCTCTATGGATTCCTGAATGTCATCGTCCACTCGGCCACGGGCTTCAAGCAGAGCTCAAGTGAGTTGCGGTCACGGGAGAGGCGTGTGTGCCACTGGGAGGAGGCAGCGGCCGTGGCAGCCCGACGGCCACGAGGACGGGCCGCCCCTCGCGCGGGATGGCGGCCCCACGCAGCCCTCAGGCTGAGCATGCGGGAGCCTTTCCAAGCAGAGCCCTCTGGCAGGCGAGCGCACGGAAGGCTCGCTCGTGAGCACTGCTCCGCGGGGCTGTGGCCCCGGGGCGAGCGAGGCGCGTGCGCACGTCTGCAGGGTGCCTCTGCATGCCGCAGCGAGGAGCAGGCTGCCGCCGCCAGCACATGGGTTTCCCCGGTGTCCCAGCTGCTCGTGCGGATGCCCCCTTCTGGGCTCATGGCAGTGGGGGGCAGGTGTGGGAACTTTCTGCTCTGTGGGCTCCTGGAAGCTTTTCCCCTCTGCTGTTCCTGACTCCGCTCTTCTGGCTGTGCACAGAAGAGTTCTGGTGGCCCTTTTCTCCAAGTCGTGGCCACAGGGGGAGGCACAGAGGCATCCGGCCAGTGGGGGCTCGGGCCACTTGCTTGCCAGCACAGGGTGCCCCCACTCTTGCTGCATGCTTCCTGGTGGATGGGCTGGTCCAGGCCAGGGGCCCTTGCTGGGCGATTGTGGCGCAAGCCAGTCCTGCGCGCCAGGCGGTGCCAAGCCTTCTCCCCGCCACACCTCCCAGACAGGCCGGGACAGAGGCTTTCGAACCAGATGCCCACCTCATGCTGGGGGTCGCAAGAGAAGAGTGTTGTGGGGCCTGCGTGGCCGTGGAGCCCTGGCTCCAGGCCCGGCTGCTGAAGGGAGGGCCCGGCCTGCTGTGCAGCCACTGGGCCCCCACTGCAGGGCCTGCTCCGTGCTCCGGGAGGGGCCTGCACGGCAGAGACCCCCAGGCAGCCTGGGGAGGTGTGGCCCTCTGTGAGCTGCAGCGGCGCTCATGCTGTGAGGGGGGCATGGTGGGCGGACAGACGGGGCTGGGATGTCGGCACAGGGGGCGGGCTCTGTGAGGAAGGGAAAGGGGGAAGGTGTGGCCTCCCTCCCTCTGCGTGTTAAGGAAGGGGCTGGGTGCAGAGGAGCGGGGGTGGAAGGGAAGCAGGTGGAGGCGATCTGGGGAAGACTGCCGGGTCTGGTGGTGGCCAGGGATCCGGTAGTGGGGGTATGTGATCACCCACCAGCTCCGGCTGAGACCCTGGTCGAGGTTCTGATAGACCAGTTTGGAAAAGTATCCCAGGGGGCGAATGGTCATAATGGGAGACTTCAGCTTCCCTGATATTAGTTGGGAAACACACTTGGCAGTGGCGGTCCGGTCCCATTGCTTCCGAGGGTCCAAGAGACAACAGGGGCAACATCCTAGACTTGGTCCTGCAGGTTCAAGCCTTGACGATACCTCTAGTTAGCAATGTGGGGAGGCGAAGGATGCAAAAAGAGGTGACAGGATGGATTAGATCATGGGTCCTCAAACTACGGCCCACAGGCTGCATCCAGCCCAGCTTGCCCATTTACCTGGCCCACTTCAGACAGTTTGGATTCGCTCAGTGAAAACGATCTCCAAGCGAGTCCAAAAGCTCTGAGCCGGCGCAGGCGTACTCAGTGAGGAGATGGCAATCGCGGTTGCGCTTGGGCAGGGAAGATGGGTGTGATCGTGGTCATGCCTGCGGGGGAGATGCCCGTGCTTGCACCCGCCTTTCCTGCAGAAGCACGATCACATTTGTCTCCCCCCCTGCCATGCCCCAGCCCGATGGCACCCGTCTCTCCCCCTCTCCCCCAGCACGGTCGTGGACATTGGAGTTATGTCCCTTGAATATGGACATGCTTTTTCCCACCTCATCTTGGGCTTCTGCTGCAAGCCAAGTGAGCGGAGCAAACATTTTTATTTTTAATTTTTTAAAATTAATCTTAATTTTAATTAATTTTAATTTTAATTATTTTTAATGTGCAGTGTGCATAGGGCATATTTTTTTCAAACTATAGTCCAACCCCCAACAGTCTGAGTGACAGTGAACTGGCCTCCTGTTTAAAAAGTTTGAGGACCCCTGGATTAGATGTAAGAGGAACCTCTGTAGGAAATGGGCACTGGGGCAAATAGACAAAAGGGTATACCACGAGTAGGAGGCCTATTGCAGAAGGATTCTTCGCAAGGCTAAGGCTGATTACGAGCTGAGACTTGCCAAGAATATCAAGAGCAACAAAAAGGGCTTCTTTCAGCATGTAAATAGAAGGAGGAAGGGGATCCAGTGACTGGTGCGAGGGAATGGGCACCGATGCAAAATGGTGATTTTGCCTCCATGTTCTCTCCAAAGCAGAGTGAGGGAGGTCTACATGGGCCTGATGAGGCCAGGGATTTAGGGGGACAGATTAGAGTCACCCCCCTAAAAGTTGAGGAGTTCCTCAGGGCACTGGACGTTCCAACTCTCCAGTACTTTGGGAGTTGGCGGGAGTACTCTCGTCTGTTGGCCTCCACTTTTTAGACCTCGTGGAGAACAGGTGAGGTTCCAGAGGACTGGAGGGTGGCCTCAGTGGTCCCAGTGTTCAAAAAGGGTAGCAAAGGGAACATGGGGAATTACAGGCTGGTTAGCTTTATGTCCATTGTGGGAAAGACAATGGAAAGGCTCATAATAGCAAGAGATCTAGTGATGCTAGGCAGAGAAGGAGGTTGGTGGCCACGCAATGTGGTTTCTGCAAAAGACAGTCACACAACACGGCTTCCGCAAAAACAGGTCCTGCCAGATGAACCTTGTGGAATTCTATGACAAGGTTTCGAGGTGGCTAGATGGAGGGGATGCAGTGGATGTGGTATGCCTGGATTTCAGCAAGGCCTCTGACAAAGTGCCGAATGATATCCTGGTGGAGAAACTGAGGAGTTTTGGGATAGACCAAAGCACTGTCTGGTGGATTAGGGCATGGTTGACTGACCGAAAGCAGAGGGTAACCGTTAGTGGGGAAACATCAGGATGGCAGCCAGTGACAAGCGGGTCCCCCAGGGCTCTGTCCTGGAGCCGATCCTGTTCAACCTTTCTGCTGCTTTCTCATCTTCTCCTAGACCTGTACTGCACCTTAGAAGTGGACTCCTTTGGGTACTTTGTGAACAAGGCAAAAACCAGAGTCTACAGAGATACTGCGGAGCCGAACTGGAACGAGGTGCGTGCAGCAGTTGCAGGCAGGGCCTTGGCGTGTTTCTGCAGCCAGAAAGCGCTTTCCTGGCCGAGTGTGGCCGCACCTGGGAGGGCAAAGTCTTGAGCAGCAGCAGGGCTTCTCCTGCTGGGGCCGTCTGTGCAGAGGTGCTCAGAACAACCCTTCACACTTGAAGAGGCTTCAGAACTAAACTTGCTCGGCTGTCCGGCTCTGGGGCCAGCAACAGAGGCCCTCCTGTGCCCAGGTGTTCTGCCCCACAAAGTGGCCCTCTGCTGGTCACGTGGGACAGGGACAGAGTGTTTGCTCGGGCCTGTGGTTGAAATCGCTCTCTCAAGGTCCCCAGGCTGCCCCCATGCAGCGGAAGGCTGGAGCTGCAGTTGGTGTGCGAAAGGCCTCTCGGGCTGCACCCAGGAGCCAGAGGGGGCCATCGCAAGCCAGGGGTCGGGAGCCCTCCTGCTGCTGCCTGGCTCTCGCTGTGCCTGCCTTCTGTCCGTGCCTGTCCAGAGCGCTGGGATGCATTGCAGCCCCCGAGTACCCTGCAGGGAGATGCCGTGAGTGCCTTCTCTTGGCAGAGGGCAGCGTCCAAACGGAACCAGCCCGTCCTGCTAAATGGGCCTTCCTTTGGTGGGGCGGGGCTTGTGCCGGCCCCCCCGGCCTACAGACTTTTGCTGGGGGAGGGCAGTGGCCCCCTTTGGGTAACTTGCACCCCCAGGGAGGGTGCAAGGAAGCAGCGCTCCGGTGAGACGCAGGCATAGCTTTCACTGGGTTGGAGGAGTTGGCCTGCAGTCGGCACCCTCAGCCGGCCCCTGCGCGGCTCGACTGGGCTCGGCTCGGCTCCTGCCACTGCTCACTTGCTGTCCTCACCCTGCAGGAATTCGAGATAGAGCTGGAGGGCTCCCAGACCCTGCGGCTCCTGTGCTATGAGAAGTGCTACAACAAAGTGAAGCCCCCCAAAGAGGATGGAGAGACCACCGACCGGATTATGGGCAAAGGCCAAATCCAGGTAGGCTGCCGCACCCTCCGCTTTTTCAAAGGCGCTTGCAGGTGCAGGTGCAGGCGCACACACGCACGCACACGTGGGCACTAAAGCTTGTAGAAAGGCCTCTAGTGGAGGCTTGGGGGGGGGTTGGGGTGTGGGATTGGCACTTCTCTGGGCGTTGCCAACCCCACGAGGTCTCCCCATGCTGCACCGCATGTGTTTCTCATGCTCCCCTTGGCAAGAATGGCTTGACTAGGAGAGGCTGGTAGAAAGGGGGTCGCTCGCCCTTCCTCCCTGTATGTTGCGCCCCTCCCTGCAAATCATGCACTGGGGCTCCCAGGAGGACGTTGGAGGACGCCTCGCTGGCCTCGGCAGCGGTGCTGTGCCGGCCATGCGGAGGGCGGGCTGTGGAGGTGGGGGATGGGGCAGTGTGGGGGGGAGGTGTGGGAGAGGGGTGGGTGCCTCCACCTGCTCCCAAGAGGTCCCCAAGGCTGGGAGCAGGGCTGGGAACCTAGTCGCAGAGCCTTCTGGTCTGACCCCGGCTCCGGCCAGCTCCACTCCTGCGACCTCCAACAGGCGGCTGTCCAGTCTTTCCTTGGACGCCCGCACTGATGTCCCCCCCAGATCCTGCCTGTGGGCCGAGTGGCACCCGCAGAGGTGGCTCGTCTGGCCACGTCCAGACCTGCCTCCCAGAGGGAAGAGCTCTGTGGCGCGAAAGAAGGCAGGGTCCATGGAAGGCGCTGTGCTGGTCTGGCCTGCTTCTGATCCTGGGCAGGCACGACGTGGCTGAGGGCCACGTTGAGCCCCCCACGCCTGCAACCGCACTTGCTTCCTCTGGGGCTCTGCCCACAGGTGGAATGAGGCCTACGTGGTCTCCCGTGCCGGAAGGTATCCTGGGCCTGGAGCAGGCCTCCTGCCCTGGGTCCAAGCCCCGCTTTCCCCAGGACACCCAGCCTCAGCCGCGATCCATGCCCTGCTGCTGCGGGTGCTTCACGTGGGCCCCCCTGTGGTCTTCACCCTCTCTGGGGCAGTGGCTGGGGGCAGGCAGAGTCCCTCGCCTGGCCCCCAGTAGCCACTCGCCTGGCTCCCCCGAGAATCCGCGTGGGTTGCCTCCTGCCAGGCGCATTGCCCCCGCCTGCTTCCTGCTGCCTGCATGTGCCTCGTGGCCAAGCCAGGCGGTGGGTGGGGGGGGGGGAGTGCTGCGGCCTGTTATTCTTGAGGGCCCTTGGTGGCCTGGGTCCCTGGGGAGCCCCAGACTGCATGGAGTGGGCTCCAGGAGCAAGGCCTGAGGGAAGGGCTGATGCAGACCGGTAATTTAGGGAAGTGCCTGTACTGATACAGTCCCCAGATCTGCAGTTCTTGACTTGCCCTTTGGTTTTTTCACTTTCTCAAGTTTGTAGTTTCCCACACAGAAAATGTGTACGAAAATGTATACGTTAGTGCACCATGAAATGCATATGTTAATGAAAGAAATATACCCAATTTGTTGGTTTTGTTGGTATGTTACATGATAGCTGAAGCTTTTTGGGCAGTTTGCAGAAACATACAATATGGTAGAAATGCAACTTGAAATACAAATAACAGTATTCATAAAATGTACTAGGGAAAGTCAAAGGCAGAAGACGAAAAGGGAAACCAAATATGAGATGGACTGAATCTATAAAGCCTTGAACTTAGAAGAGCTGAGCAGGGCTGTCATGGATAGGATATTTTGGAGGGATTTCATATATAGGTCAAAGATAACTTGACAGCACATAACAATATTATAGAAATGACACCACAAAAATTAAAAATCAAGTTTAGCATCCAACTGGAACAGTTAAAATAGCTAACACAGGTTAAATCACACGATCCGAGGAAGCTGGCATGGTGCCCAGTCCACTGCTCTTCCAGGGAAGTTGAGTGCTCTGTTCTAGAGGATTGTCTTAGCCTGGCACTGAAAAGATCATGAACTTGGTGCCATGCGAAGCTTCTGTAATTGGGGGACCAGCACTTCTCCCTGTTGCCACCCACTGAGCTTCACGCAGAGATGGCCTCAGGCCTGGATCATGGTGTCCATGTAGATTGCTGTTGGGAGAGGCATTCCATCAGGTATCACGGTCCCAAGCTGTGTAGGTGTTTAAAACCCAATATCTTGAGTTGGACTCAGAAACCTATAGAAGCAATGCAAGCAGACCAGAGTTGGTGTTACGTATTTGGGCTTCTCCTTCATGGTTCACTGCCTTGTCATGGCGAAGGGACTTGCATAGTTCAGTGAAGCTATGAGCTGTGCCGTGCAGGGCCACCCAAGACGGACAGGTCATAGCAGAGAGCTCTGACAAAACGTGATCCACTGGAGAAGGAAATGGCAACCCAATCCCGTAACTTTGCCATGAATACCCCATGGGCAGTACCAAAAGGCAAAAAGATATGATGTGGAAGATGAGCCCCTCAGGTCGGAAGGTGTCCAATATGCTACTGGGGAAGAGCAGAGGGCTAGTACTAGTAGCGCCAGAAAGAATGAAGCGACTGGGTCAAAGCCGAAAGGACTCAGTTGCGGATGTATCTGGTGGTGAAAGGAGAGTCCGATGCTGCAAAGACCTATACTCCATAGGAACCTGGAATGTAAGATCCATGAAGTGCTACACTCAATATGCCAGCAAATTTGGAAAACTCAACAGTGGCCACAGAATTGGAAAAGGGCAGTTTACATTCTGATCCCAAAGAAGGGCAATGCCAAAGAATGTTCAAACTACTGCACCATTGCACTCATTTCACAAGCTAGACTCCAGCAGTATGTGGACCGAGAACTACCAGAAGCACAGGAAGGATTTCGAAGAGGGAGAGGAACTAGGGATCAAATTGCCAACATACGCTGGCTCATGGAGAAAGCTAGGGAGTTCCAGAAAAACATCTACTTCTGCTTCATTGACTATGCTAAAGCCTTTGATTGTGTGGATCACAACAAATTGCGGCAAGTTCTTAAAGAGATGGGAGTACCAGACCATCTTATTTGTCTCTTGA